AGATACGGCAATTGTACCTAATTCATATGCCAGTTCCAAATTTGGGTTTTTCAATTCCTTACTTATATGGTTTGTCAAGGCCAGAATTGTATTGATTCCGTAATTACTTTTTTTAAATTAGATTTTCAATTATGTAATAAAGAGAATATATATGCACAACAAACAAACAAATGAAATAATACAACTATAACACACACACCAAATGAACTGGGTGTGAGATCAAGAGCTTACTGAGATACAATCAAGTAGAAGAAAAGGGAAAGTCCATCTACATTGAGATGAAGAAGAAAAGTCTTACGGCATCCATATATTTTTGGTTGTTATATAGGACTGTACTATTGATTCAGTAGTTGGCTGATATTTCAGTTTGTGTTGCTTTTATATTACAAACCCTTAGAAAAAGCTTGCATGTCTGAATTTTTTGAAAGATGCATATAGAATTTTTGAGCTCTGAGGAAAATACATTGATGCCACCACTATATCGGGATTGCCTTAATTCGCCAAACTTTCATGTATGTACAAGTACGTTTCAAGACGCTATATTCCTCTTTATGTACACGGCAGAAAGCTTGAAGGTTTTAACTAGGTGCTAATCTATTCTATACAGTGTATTTACGCAGGTGGAGCTGTGGTCTAAACCACAGAGCCTAGGACTTGCCGATCTGAAGGTTGGCGGTTCAAATCCCCGTGACGGGGTGATCTTCTGTTGCTCGGTCCCAGCTCCTGCCCACCTAGCAGTTCAGAAGCACGTCAAAGTGCAAGTAGATAAATAGATACTGCTCTGGCGGGAAGGTAAATGGCCTTTCCGTGCGCTGCTCTGGTTCACCAGAAGCAGCTTAGTCATGCTGGCCACATGACCCGGAAGCTGTCTGCGGACAAACACCGGCTCCCTCCGCCTATAGAGCGAGATGAGCGCCGCAACCCCAGAGTCGTCCACGACTGGACCTAACAGTCAGGGGTACCTTTACGTAATCTATTCTATACAGTGTACTTATGCAGCTATTTCCTGTGATCTCAACATGATTGTTCAACTTGTGTGTGTGGTGTGAGGAGAGTAAAGTGCACTGTATGTTCATTTGCAGGGGATATGAAAGTGACAAAACAATCTCGGCATCGAGTGATCTTGCAACTCCCTGCGAATGGTGGCCGAGACTGCCCAGATACTTTGTATGAAGAAAAAGATTGTGAAGCTCCTCCTGTCTGCTTGTTTTTCAGGTGATGCTCTTAACGGAAGAGTCTCTTAACCTTTATCAGTGTAGAGTTTCTGTCAAAAAATAACTTGTTTTTGTGAGATTTGTATGTATTCAGGAAGGGAGGGAATTAGTCTTTTTCTATGAGGAATCTACCTCAGAGGTTTTGTACTCCAGAGCTTCCTACTTCTAGTTTTTGTATATTACGTTTCAGCCAAAAAAAATGGCCTAGTTTTACAGAGGCATTGTAAAGATTACTATGTGTGTTGCGTAAGTAATATTTAGCAAGCATTATTAGCATTATCAATGCTATTCGGGTTCTTTGGGAGAATGTGTGGAACCACAACAACACTACGCCATCTAGGTCTCTTGTGGGCAGAGTCTCTGACAGGTGGAGGTGGCTGTTGCTATCTTTGTAGCAAAACATTAGCAGAAAGCAGCCAAGCCACAAAGGAGCTTTCTGAGCTCTGGCATTAATTCCTTCTCCCCATAATGGGATATTGCCTGAGTTTCACAGGCAATTTGTCATCTTAATTTAGCAATACAAAAATGGCTTGTTCAGACAGTAACATGCTCCGACTGCTTTCAAATGCCACGATTACCTCATTTGCAAAGCGTTGGTGAATTCATCCCATTGTGTCTGATAATATCACTCATAGAATAAGGATGATAGGTCAGACATCTTTTTAATGTGGTGTAAATATTGTGATGGCCAATCTTGGAGCCAGAGGAATGTTTTCATTTTGGGGGCTGGAAATAAAATCCATGGCCAAATCAGGTGCTATTAGTGATTTCCACTGTCGTTGAAATAGTAGTGGCTATTTCCTGTGGCTTTCCCACAGAGAGAAGGTTAAGAGAATAGCGGTAGTTATACCTAGATAGAATATAAGGAGAAGTTGTTTATGAAGAATGGTTCATCTAATTCTGGGCTTTCTGTTGTGCTGGGTGTATGCACACAATCCATCCATTTTCATGACATACCATATATAGGTGATGCAGGTCCAGTACACAGCTGAAGGCAATATGTTACCTCACACCACATTATCTTTTATGAGAGAGTTCCATACTGGAAGTGGAAGCATGTCCCATTCAAATTAGCTGAGCAAGTGCCCATTTCCTTGGCAGCTTTGAGCTCCAAATAGGATTTGCCATCATAATTGCATTGTGTGCTTTTTGTTACGAGTTTCTTGTGTTTCTTGTGTAAATGTGTTTATATTGTGATGTAAATGTGTCATAGGTCACTTGGAAGCAGTTAGCAACAAGTTATCGCCATCAGTTTATTTGTATGCTACTTTCTTACAACATTGTGTCTGAAGCAGGTTACAACAAATCGAATGGACAGCAATAGCCATTCAGAAAATTTAGAGTTTTGTGCAGCTAAGTACTCCTCAAAGCAGATCCACTGAAATTAATGGAGCCATGTTCGTGATGTCCATTTATTTCAGTCTGTCTGCTCTGAGCAGGACTAGCATTGGGTGCAAGCCATAATAAGAACAAGTGCAAATAATCATAATGGGTTGTAACCAACGTCTTAGAGTAGACCCATTGAAAATAGTGGATATGACGAATTTAGATACATTAATTTCAGTGGGTGTGCTTTTAATATGACTTAGTTGGACACTAGCCAAAGTAAATATGTCAATACACCATTTTAAAAAAACAGTCCACATGACACTATATAAAACAGTGCAAATGCACTAACCCAGTCTTAAAGCTGAAGAGGAGAGAGAATAGAAATGAATACAGAAAAAAAAAATACTAGTGTACAAGGCAAAACAGAATCATCTCCATTTCACAAGGCATTCCACGAAGGTTCAAAACAGTTAACTTACACTCATTAGATGGCAGCATCTTATGGCAGTCCTCCTCCCTGCAGCTCTTCTCTCAATTCATTCCCCATCTCTCACAGCACATGGAAGCTCCTGTTCAGAAAGTGGCCACTTATCTGGTCTGGAAGTAGGTGGCGGCTGTGCCCTGGCGTGGCCGCCCCTCAAACACCAAGGGGGCGAAATGACTCTGCCATGGTGGCTGGCCTTTGGAATGCCTCCCCAGCCGGCCACCATCTTGAAGTTTGAAATTAGCCTATCAGGGGCAAGCTGAGGGGTGGAGCCTGGGTGGCAGCCCAGGGTGGAGAAGTCTTCACTCTGATCCAATTCCTCTATCCACCTGTCCCTGTTGAAATGTCCTTCCTGTGATTTTACTTGACAGTGCAATATAAATAAAGGTTATTAAAGCAAGGGGTTACCTTGATCCTCTGTCAGAGACATACACTTAAAATCCATTAGGAGATTGTAGAATATCTATTTGAAGGTTCTTTGAGAATGTAATTGCAGGACATGAGGCGGCCAAAAATACACTCCAAATGTTGGGGATAATTTATTTTCTCTTGCCATTATTGTTTCCTAGGTTTATTCTAAATTTATGGCAGTTTACTCTAGCAGTAACTTCAGCAGTGAAGTTCTTCATTTTGTTTTGTGCAGATACACCAAACATGAACAGTAGTTTATTTCCCATTCGGTTAGCAGCGCAAACTATACGAAAGAGAATTACTTGACTCTTGTTTCGGTTCAAGAGCAAATATATAAAAAGCAAGTCACATTTATTTTTTTGCAGAGCAGGCTGAGCTACTTCTAGCTAGACCATCAGTGCTTGTTACTGAAGCAACCAACTTATAGCAGCCATGCCCATAATCATTTCACTCCAAACAATTCAAGTCTATTGGAATGACTGATGGAACAAGACGGCGAATATCCAATATGGAAAATAATACAAAGGACTTTTCACGGTGCAATATCTATATACAGTGGTTCTCTCTATATAGATACTGTACTGTGAAAAGCCCTATGTATTATTTCCTAAATTTGATGTGAAAATATGTTGGAAATGGTGGATACTCCGGATAATTTCAGACAAGTTTTAAATACAGGAACTTGGAATGATGACCTGTCTTTTTTTGTTAAAGCTGTTGAGCAGCACCAAGCATATAGTTATGAGTAGCCCTTTCGTGTGAAATGTATATTTATGAGTCAGGTACCCATAGGTATTTGAATAAATATACAGAAGGCAATAAATTATTGAGTAGAACAGGTGCCTAAATAATTCTGTAAGCCTTCATTTTGGTTATTTAACTGTGGCTTCCCTTCCATTTTGTTATTCAGTGACAGTGAATTCATATTGAACTGGACCTGCATTTTCCAAGTCAATATGTGGAAGAACTTTTAGAAAAGCAAAACCCTATAATTAAAATGACCTCCATAGAGAAGCACAGTAGAAAGGCTTTTTCACTAAAGCAAATTTAGAGCGTCAAAAATAGCCTAGGTGCATATATTTTATCTGATGCAGTTCTGCATAACTCAACTGAAATTCCAAAGTGGGTTATGCAGCACTCGTCCTGCCGACAGAATTACTAAAGTTTTCCACGAATTTGTGGCTTAAATAGCACTGATAATGCATCATCAGTGACAAAAACGTTGCTCTTTTCTTCCAAAATCTAAGGGAGGTGATAAACCCGGGCTTAACGTTTCAGACTACAAGTGGGAAGTCATATTCCCACTTCCTTATAAAAAGTAATATTCTGGATTAAAAAAAGGTCCCTGAACAAAATGATATGTCACATAGAAGGCTGTGATTGTCTTCACAGTCTGAAGAGGCACAACCTAGATGTAAGTTTGCCTCGTAAACTTTAGTACCTCACTGAGAACTAGGGTGCCAGATTTGATTTACATGTTACATTTCTACATGCTTCCATGATATGGGAATGTAGGAAGTTGTCTTATACTGATTCAGGTAGGACTGCCTCCCAGCTTTAACTGGAGATGCCAGAGATTGAACCTAGCACCTTTGGTAAGAAAGGCAAATGCTCTACTACTGAGCTATACCCCTTTCCTAAACATAGCATATGCCCACAGGTAGATGCAGCTGGGAGCCAAAACTGATCAGTATATGCTTTGTTAAGCATATATGAGAGAGTAGAAAATTTGGTCTACAACCAAGCAGCTTATATGGTAGGCTGAACTACAAATCCCATAATCCCTAGCCATTGGCCACGCTTGCTGGGGTTGATGGGTGTTGTGACTCAGTGACATCGGGGGACGGGGGGGGCATGGAAGGTTTCCCACATCGTTTTGTACAGGGATTTATTTATGTTTTAATATGTGGAAGATTATTTAGTCACATGTGAGGCTAGGAATGCTTTCTAACCTTGTTTGCATCACTTTAATACTGTCTAGTCTAGGACATAGAGCAGAATTATAAACATTGGTAATGCAAATATTTTGTTGTAAGTGTCACCTGCAAGAAAATGGTCTTTGAAGTGTATTTCTTCAGATATGAGGACAAGCGGCAGCTAAAAGTATGTAGATTACCCTCAACTTTTAGTTAAGGGAACAGCAATTTTAGAGCGAAGAAAATTGAGGGGAGAGAAGGTGGCAAGGAGGAGAACAGATTGGTCTTAATATTGTGCTATTTGCACATTTGCTCTGACAAACGGCTTGCATTCACACGGTATTTTTCTGCTATAGATGGAAGACGCATAAATGGCGCAGGTGTCAACTCGCACCATGGAATGTTCGTCAAGGCAGCCCCGGTGCTCAGGAGACATGTGGTCCCGGTCTACAAGCAAGAGGTTAGAAAATTGTCACTGTAATTTATGCTATCAATCATTAACACAGTTAATTATCACAATAGATTATCATTGTGCTCTATCACAACCTCATGTGGATTCCTGACACCTCTGTCCGCTGCAAGTGCTAAGAGTTTTAGACTTTGTAAAATCAAGAGCAGTAACAAATCAGGCATTAGCACAAAGTTGTTGAAAACCAGGGTGGTACCCCAGGGTGTCTTGTCTTCACAGAACTGTTGAACTGGAGTTAACAACATGATATTGTGTGAAAGGTACTGGAGTTACTCAAATAATTAGCATCTGAAATCACTGACCTAAGATAAAGTTTTTAGAACATTTGATATTGTTTTGTCCCCTGCCTGAGCTCCTTTAGGAGGAAGAGCAGGATATAAATTGAAATAAAATTCATCATCCTCATAATTTCATTGCAAGTTAAAGACTCTCCTCCTGGAAGAGAGGGGAGTGGTTGTGGGAGGGAGCCGAGCTCCGCCTCGAGCAGGGGGCGTTAGCCCCCTGCCTCCCACTCACCTGGCTGGCGCCCACGCCCATCGGCAAGCACCCAACCAGGTGCCTCCGAGGGGGCGTGTACAGCATAGCTGCAATAGTGCTGATGGTGACATGGGATGAGCATACCTCAGCCATGTATATTTGGCTATGGTGCTGTTTACCATGGACAAACTGGAAATGAAAAAAAGATGCACAAGAGCAGCAATGGGTAAAGCACATAAGGAAGAGGCTGCACTTGTCAGCTCACAGACATTATTAGAACAAACCCATGCCTTGATTTTATAATTAAAGCCTAATATATTAGCATTTTTTCAGCTTTTTTAACACACACTGAGCTTGTGTGGCTGCAAAAGTGCCAACATGAATCAGAAATTTAGCAGAAGGAGTCCTCCTCCAAGACAGCTTTGATTCTAGCTGTCCTGTGTAATTGAGCTTTTATTGCAAATCACGTCTGTGTAAAATGAACATGTCACAACTTTAGACTGGAGCCAATTTTCTTTGGGTTTTTGTCAGCAAGAGCATGTCTTTATTTTATTTTTTAATCAACTGTTTCCTCCCCCCTTCTCCTATTTATATAGCTGAGCATAGAAACAGCAAAATAAAACAAATTTTACCCCATGCCAAAGATTGTTATTTAAAGATGATCACCATATTGTGGAAAAGCACTGTGCATCTGCAATCAGGCGAGGGACATTTCTTTTTAAAAAGGAAAAAGCCTTGATAATGGAGGCTCAAGAAGCACTGTTAAGAAACGCAGCGTGAAAATTTGGACTAAAAATGAAAGTGCGTGAGTGAGAGCTCTTACCCGAATTCTGACCTTTTTCAAAAGGCTTAGCTAACTTTTAAATCTTACATCTCTAAAGCCACACATCTTCTCAAGAAGAAGAAATAAATAGACTGATGTTTGGTTTTCTTGTAAGAGACGGTCGGAAAAATCACAGTGGAAACGAAGTACAATGCTGTGTAGAGCATGCTTAGTTCTCCCTTGACACAGCGACTCTACAACATTTCATGCCTGACCTACAAAAGCCTTGCTATTTTGGTCAAGAACCTCTCTAGGGTGGAGGAATGACAATTGTGCCAGAGCCTCTCCTCTGTTTCATTTCTTACGTAATGACCCAACACAGAGGCTTGAGCACAAAAGGTCATTTCACGTGAATTAAAATATTTTTACTCTCTCGGAGCAGTGAAAAGCTAGTGCGTATCTGCCTCACTCTCGTCCTGAACATTTAGAATTTTAACATATATTTCTGAAAACCTATGCAGCTGTCTCTGCACCGTATTTCCAGTTTGCTCTTGGGAGAGTATTACATACGGAGACGAGAAGCTATTATTTGGTTGGGGAAACTGTCAGTTCGAAGGAAGTGTGAAGCCTTAGGGGCAATACTACATGTTCTGTCTCAGCCCTGTGTTTTTAAAGCCAGGCCCCTGCTTTTGCAATGAAAATTGAGCCCAGGGGACCATGATTTGCAATGGCAACTTTGGGGGAGGAATACAGTTTTGTGTGATGGCTTTCCTTCATAACTCCACTATACCAGCTTTCTCTCCTTGCAGCCCAATCCAGGCTAGATCTGTGTTTGCAACAGAAACATGGGTCCAGAATAAAGCTTGGAGCAAGCATAGGCAAACTCAGCCCTCCAGATGTTTTGGGACTACAATTCCCATCATCCCTAGTTAACAGGACCAGTGGTCTGGGATGATGGGAGTTGTAGTCCCAAGACACCTGGAGGGCCGAGTTTGCCTATGCCTGGCTTGGAGACAATGCAGTTGGCGGAGTAGTGTTGGGGAATGGTTATTGAGGAAAGGGTGAAGTTCCCATCTCTCTCTTGTACCCAGAGTTGAAAGTTTGGGAGTGCATGAGTTGTGAAGGCCCATTCTTGATCTCTCCCCTGCGGCATTTCTAGTTTGCTGGTGATAAAGATGAGCAAATTGTGTTGGTACAGCACTGATAATATCTCTTGGCTGCTTGGAAGGAGGATAGAGAAGGATGTGTCAACGTGTGTAGAACATACTTATTGTACAAAGGTAAACTTTGCATAGTACTTTGTCCACTTTCGCCTCTGACTCCTCCCATCACTGGCATGTTTTTGCAAGAGTAGATGTGTGCAGTGAAAGGAACAATGGACTCATAAAGTATTGCCTTTGAACATTAGAGAGATTGATAGAGGTAATGAATGAAATTATTTATATATGGCTGAAATCAGACAGCATGGCCTATCACAAAGAGTTAAAGCCATATAATATTTCATGGTAAGCTAGAAAGATGCTTATTTGAGACACAGTATGATTTGGCAGTGTTTGACCTGGGCACTTAAAGTTTTTTGTTTTTTTTAAGTACCAAAATGGCCCTCATTTGCATACACAAAGCAGACTTTGTATTTAATTATCCCCACAATAATAATTTATCAGCTTATGGCCCCTTGTGGTGTAGTTCAAGCTATGCTATCAGCCCTAATTATATCAAGGTCTTTTGTCTACAAAATTTGAAGCGCAGTTTATTTCATACCACTCTTCTGGGAGACCCTAAATGTTCAATAGGGAAACGTATGTTAAGTGAACCCATGTTAAATTAAATTTTGCTGGCAACTGCATCCTTGTTCTTTATGGAAACATTTTACAATTATTTGTGTTTAATTCAGAATAATCACATTTGGTGTTCTCGCTGCTAATGTCTGTAATCAATTTGATGGGAGTGGGTGTGATTAATTATTAGTCTGCCACAGCATGATAAGAGACTGATTTCTGGTCCCAGGTGCCATTTTCACCATGTAAATAAAGCATGTGGACTTGGTTGAAGGAGCATGCAACTTAAATTGTATTAGGATGTGCAGTGAATATAGAATTTCAGGGGAGAATGTGGTCTGCCGCGTAACCAGACCACCTTTTCTCTTCTAATAACTTGGGTTCTGTAGCCCATTAAAATGTATCTATCTTATCCAAACCCTTTTCTTTTCACTAAGGTGATTTCTTAAGGGGCATACATGTTTCTGTGATCGTTTTATGCCAGATTCCCACGGGACGATATGCTTGGCACATTTTCTGACATAAGGTGTCAGGGCTGCCTCAAGTCTCAGCTCACAAAAGACCAACGCCTATCTCTTCTTATATACAAAAGTGTTTATTGCAGTTCATTGTTTGCTTCACATCCGAGGCGCGCAGCCCTACGTCTCTTACGCTTAGACCGCTGAAGTCCCTTCTGAATCCGTCCCTCCCCTGCACCAATTTAAGAGGCTTGCGCTGCTCCACCTCTTTCTCTCTTTCCTTTTCCGCAGGGTCTTTCTGCCCGCTGGGGTTTCGCCCCTCCTGGATTCCTCTGACGCGGAATCAGACTGCTCTTGCCCCCTCCTGCGGGCTTTGGGACCTGGCCCCTCCTCCGGGCTCCCTGTACTTCCGCGCGCCTCTACATTTGAACTTGGCGCGCGAGCCCAACCTCTAACCTTCCTTTTAACAGCTACACTACTCCCTTCACTACTCCCTCCCCTTCCGGGAGGGTAGCTTGCTCCGACCTCCCTCCTTTCTCTGCTGCCGGAGCCGCTTCCCCTGATACACTGAAACCTCCACCCCCTTCGCTGCACTCTGGCGGGGAGGAGGCTGGTCCTGACGCCCAGCTGCCATTTTGGGATCCCCCGCTGGCCCCCTGCTCCTGACACGTCCCCCCTGGGGCTCCCCTGGCCTTGACCACCGGCGCCCCCTTCTGGGAATCCTCTGATTCGCTGGAAAGACTCATGGAATCTCTTGAGTCATTGTCATCCTC